GGGGGAGGGAATGGAGGTGTGTGTGTGTGTGCGCGTGTGACCTGTATGTGTGCACATGTGCATGCTCACGAATTCTCTGATTCATGGCAGCTCCAAGAACTTTACCACTTCAGGTATACACTAGAATCACTTTCCAGTGTTTTGTTTACAAGACAGAAAGCTATTTTGTCACCCAAATACTACTTTATCAGGATAATGGCTGCAAAAGCTTTCAGAGAGGTTCACTATACAATTATCACCGGAATCGCTCACCTTTCAGAAACTGACAGGTGTCCACTAATTCGCCTTGACCCTCCTCAACTTCAATCTTCAAAACATCACCAACCGATTGATATTGAAAATTCCATGCTAGTTGATATGTGCTATCACTTGTTCCCTGCACTCAAGTCCAGAAAGTACTGTCATCTTCTTCAGCACCCAAATGAACATCAAAAACTCTGAAGTAGCTTCCAGCAAGAACACAGAGCCATTAAAGGCAGCCAGTGCAGACTCAACCATAGCCCTCAGCATGCCTTGCCCTTCCCCATGGATTATGATTTTTTCCAGGTTCCTTCCCCAAGAAGGAGAGAGTTCTCAGGTTGAGGGAGGGAAAAGGGGCATGGCTATACTCACCAACACCCATAGCAAGTGTGTCTATTCACAACAGCATGACAAGAAGTGGGTGAGCTGAAGGGTCTGATGGCTGCCCAAGAAGGTCACCTACCCTGTTTCCCACTAGACAGACAGCACACAACTGGTCCAGGCTATCCAGGAAGAAGATGCCATCCCCAATTCCAGAATTTCCTCAGAATAAAGGTAAGTAGTAAAGTGAAACAGCAGAACAGCCTACCCAAGACAGATCCTATACTGCCAGACCAGCACTTCAGTGAGCTCGGCACATGACACCCAGGCTGGGGCCCCAAACATCTCATTATCTAAAGGCCATCTGGGAGATCAAACTTAGTGGACCTAAGAGGTATGAGCGTGAATCTTTTATTTTATTTTTCGAGGCAGGGTTTCTCTGTGTAGCTCTGAATGTCCTAGGTGACCTCAAACTCAGAGATCTGCCTGCCTCTGCCTCTACACCATACCACCACCAGCTACAAGCAGGAATCTTGATTCCTACTTTCTAGACAGGTGGCAATTGGTTAGCTTTATATCCTAATGGTGGCTGACAATGTGACTGGAACATGCTATGCAGGTATTTGATCAAATGATAATCTAAATGTCAACTGTGAGTGTCTTTGTCAACCTGTATAGCATAGCTAGGTTTCACCCAGTCGAAGGGCTTAATATGGAAGAAAAGAGAAGATCAACGGAAAAGATGTGTTCATAGGATTCAAAATCGAGCTGTGACATCAACTCTTCCCAGGTGTGTAGTCTGCAGGACACCTTATAGATGAAGGAGCTGGTGGACCTTCCACAATCACGTGGGCCAGTTTCTAAAAATACCCCCTGCACATACACAGTCTGTCTGTATCATTGCAGACCCCTAACTGTGTGTGTGTGTGTGTGTGAGAGAGAGAGAGAGAGAGAGAGAGAGAGAGAGAGAGAGAGAAGAAGAAGAAGAGAGAGAGAGAGAGAGAGAGAGAGAGAGAGAGAGAGAGAGCACACATGCACTTTGGGTTTTACTTTCTTTGTATGTATAGCTGTTAGGGGAGTGGCCCGGCCACAGGGGAGACCCTGGCTGAGGGTTTATCTACCTAAATGTTACCTAAGGACTTCTCTAGGTATTCTTAGGCCTGAACTATCTCACTGCCCTAGATATCACCAAGTTAGCTAGTCTCACTGGCTAGTAAGACTCTGTCTTACACCTCACCATGGCTGGAATTCCAAGTACACACTACCACAACCAGCTTTGCAAGTCAGGGTCTTGGGTTCAAGCTCAGGTCCCATGCTCACAGGGTACTTTTCTCACAGAGCATCACCACATATTTGATTCAGGACATGAGCAATATGCCAGAGATGAAACCCAAAGCATGGAAAGTCAACTCCTGCTCTCTAGGCATATATGAAACTGTCTGTGAGAGGGAAGAGACCCCAGGTCCTTAACCATGGAGTTGGAATTATGTCCAGAGGAGTTGCCATGGATGCTTAGTTGCCAAGCTGGTTCCTGGGGGATGTGGTGGTAAGGTAAAATCCAGAGCAAGAGCCAAAAGCAAAGCAGAAGACAAACTTTCACAAACCTCCATTTTGGCTAGGAAATGCAGTGGTCATGGGACAGCAGTCCACCCTCACTCTCAACCACAACACAACCAAAGCCTTCCCAACAGGTCAGGCCAGCCCAGGAGAAGATTGGAAAGTTGATCTGTGCCTGTAAATTTAAAGGTTGTTGATGTTGTATTTTAAAAAATGAATTTTATGATGTTTATTTTTTTAAACCTGGAGGCACTTTTCCATAACAAGAATATAAGGATAAAGGTGAAGGTCTTGGGACAATCCTCAGAGTGCTGTCAACTGCAAAAACACTTAGGGCTAAAAAAGATTGCAGTCTCTTCCCTTGCTGAGCTCACAGCTCTATAAGTTAGTTCTGCCAAAGATAAGAAGATACTTTATACTTGCAACTAAGAGGTTTACGCTATAAAAACATATCCTCAGTTCCCTCCTATAACTCAGGAAACTTGGGCATTGGTGTGTCCATCCCTGAAACCAGAAGCCAAAGGACATCATGAATCAGATGGGCAAAGTACCCCCTTCCTTCAGGCTCTCAGTGTAGGGAACTCCAACTTGCTTGCAGAAACCAGGGCCCAGGCAGTGAAGAGCTTCGGAAGAAAGCTGCAGTGCAACTTTAAAACAAGCACATCAACCAACACACATGCTTATGGAGTACCATGTGAGTATTCAGTACATACCTACACTGTGAAATTTATAATGCCCAAATCAGGAAAATGCTGGGGACTTGGAACAGTGTCTCGATGTGCAGCTCCAGCTAGCTTTGAACTAACAAACCTTGAGTGTTGGAGTTACAGGCCTAGGCTATGGTGCAAGGCACACCACTGGTGCTCCTTGATAATTGTGACTAAAAGGAGAGAATCAAAGGGCTCCATAAGCAACAAGAGGGCAGCTGGTATGTACCCAGTACCGAGCTCAGCCCTGAAAATCCTGCAATGTGAGAGGACAGGTACATAGTGTGTCTTAAACGGCTACACAGGAGAACTCAGGAAGGTACTGCCGCTACTTGGCAGTAGACTATGTGCCATCTCATTGCAGTCCAGCAAGGGGGATCACAGGTGCATGCTGAAAAGGCTCTCGCCCTGCTCTGTTTCAGGGCACTCAGGCTGCATCTCGAGAAATGGAACTTCTGCTGCCATCTGCACACCACATCCTCTGCTCATGCATTTAGGGAGAAGTGCTCTAAAAATCCTAACTCAGAAATGAATCTCTTAGTGCTGTGTTTCGTAACTCAAAAGCAAGCCCAGTGGCTGGGGAGATGGAGCACTGGGTAAAGGGCTTGCCATGCAAGCATGAGGACCTGCATTCAATGCCAGCATCTGTGTCAAAACACCTGGCACCATGATATATGTTTATAACCCCAATGCTGAGGAGGAGGAGACAAACAGACCCCTGCATCCCACTGGCCATCCAGTCTAGCCATCTGTTGAGTTCCAGGTTCAGGGAGATGCCATGCCTCTAATAATAAAGTGGACAGCTCTCAAGGAACACCACAGAGTTTGGCTTCTGCCCTCCAAATGCCTATGCTATGAGTCTATAGCATAGGAGAGTACTAGATGGGGTGACAGGGAGCAAAGGGTAAGAGAGGGAAGCGAGGGTGAATGATTTCAACACATTGCACATATGCGTAAGTCAAAATTAAAATATTAAATAATACCAACAGCCAAACATTACCTGTTGGCTAGCCATACCAACTCAAGCAGCAGGGAAGTTTGTCCCTGCTGTAAGTAGATACTCCCTTGTAAACTTTGTAAACTCTCAAGGCAAGTAAGTGGCCAGCACCCAGCCTGAAGAGCTCCAGTGGCCAGGCCCTGCCCTCAGACTTAATGGCCTTCAAACAGCTGTAAGGACCACTTCCAGTTCCAAGGTGAAAGAGTGGCCAAACCCCACCCTATAAGAAATATAAAATCCCACCAATCTCTGAGCTTGCCCCAGTATTGGCCACATAACTCATCCAATCCCAGGTCACCCTAGAAAGTCCCTCCCCACCCCAAAAAGAAACCCTATATAAACTCAGTGCTCTGCCAGGTCCCTGCTGCTTTTTCTCCCAAGCAGAGGCAGCCCCCCTCCTGTGTCTTTCATGGGCGAAGGTTGTTGTGAAGTGTGACTTTATGGTATTCCTTGGCTCCCAACCAATAGGATGCCTTTTCACCAAGCTGTACTGCATATTATCCAGTACCTGTCCTGTGCTAATCCCTATATGCCTATACATATCACCTCACAAAGCAGGTGCTACCAACTATCCCACTTTACACATGAGAAAACTTACACATGAGAAAACTGAGAAACATAGATTAAAAAACTACAAGAGAGGGCTGGAGAGATGGCTCAGAAGTTAAGAGCACTGGCTGCTCTTCCAGAGGTCCTGAGGTCAATTCCCAGAAACCACATGGTGACTCACAATCATATATAATGATATCTGGTACCCTCTTCTGGCGTGCAGGCACACATGCAGTCAGAACACTGTATTCATAATAAATAAATAAATAAATAAATAAATAAATAAATAAATACTTTGAAAAGGAAACTCCAAGAGAGCTGGGATTATTATATGGCCTGGTGACTCTAAGTCCAGGGATTCTTCACCCTGCTTATTTTCAGTTGCTTACACCTGTGGTCTCATGTGAACCAACCATTCCACAAGGCTCACAATATTCTAGACCTAGTCTATAAGTGCCTAAATCACACAACCGATGCTAAGTCTAGTGGGGCTTAGTTTTCGTTTAGCAAAAATAAACAGGGTTTCTTGTTACTGGAACCCCACCAACACCATTTCTCTACTCCACTGGAGTATATACTCATCCACTCCTTGCACCTGCCCCTCCCCCATGGGCTCAGCTCCACCTCACCTTCAGCTGTTTGACCTTCTCTTTTCAGCATCTGGACAGCTCCTACATATTTCTTCAGTTGGACTTTGAGCACCTCGTTTTCTCTGCAGGTATAAGAATGTTAAAAAAAAAAAAAAAAAAAAAACAAATTTAAAAACTAACAATTTCCACCCTAAGCAGGGGAAGGAATCTGAGTGAGGAAAAGCACATAATTTGTATCTTTAAAATGCTATCCTGTATCACAGATCAGCACTGAAAAGAATTGTAACTAAGGGCATACTTCTGGAACACCTTCTGGAACTTTCCTTTTGGAATGCTGGTGAGTACCAACTGGTTCTTGTGCCTCCAGACTTGGAATGACAGCATGTGCTATATGAACTCACCAACCTGCCAGTGCCATTCTGGGTTATTTTCTTCAATAACAGAGGCACATACTAAAAACAGTTCACCTGAACCAGCTACCGTGAATTGCCTTATTTATACATTTATACATCATCCCAGGAATGAGCACAACTCCTTCTCTGTAGATGAGGAAACTGGGACACCAGGTGGGGAATCAGTGACCAAATCCATCCCCAACTCCACTTAAGATCACACATCATACAATGGAAAATGGACAATCACACCCCACCTCCCAAACTCATTCCCCTGGTACACTGACTAATTATGTGACATGAGGTTCCAGGAAAAGAAACTGGCATTTCATCTTATAGTTTGGATCATGAACATACCAGCTCATCAAATCACACATTCAACCATCCACTATGTCCACCACACAGCCTGGACCTATATAAGCTCACTGAATCACATTACATGCATTCATCCATCCATCATTTGTGGGAAATTCACAATGGACCTGTCATATTCTCCCAGGGCAATCAGATAGGAGTTAGACAGATAATGTCTCCCAACAAGATCACATGGTCAAGGTCACCAGTAAAATCCAGGTATCTCTGTCCACAAGAGAGATTTTTGTGTCCTTCTAGAGACTGGCATTTAATCTCTCACAAGCTATACCCAAAGAGGCTCCTGTCCTCATTCTATTTCTGCCTCTCACTTCCTACCCCAGGATTTCAGTGTGTTATTGAACACATTGAAATGCTCTGTCTTCACAATAAAGAGCTCAAAACTGAGTTTCTTCTATGACTACACAAATAAAGTTTCATTGCAAAATACTCCAACAATTAGAACACATTTATGAAGGGGAAATTAGCTGAAAACCCAACACCTTAAAATAAAGCCCATTCATAGTCTCCTTAGGGCATGTGCAAACAGGAATGTTTTATGGAAGAAATAACCTGTCACGTTCTCAAAACATTCCTTTTCGTCTTCTCCAGCTCTCTACTCCAGGGATCAGCAGCAAACCTGGTGTGCACTGCTGTGTCCTATAGCATGCACACTAACCACTACAAGTCATACACACTCCTGCAGAGTCCAGGGTATTGTGCAGGACCACACTGTATACTTTCGGCAACCAAGTTGTTTTCTTCAACTGTATCACAGCAAGCCCTAATTCAGTCTGCTGACAGACAGAAATAGATTCCTTAGTGTAGTGCTACACACTTCCTTAGCTGTAACACCTGGGACTGCTTCTATGTCTATTTCTAGTGCCCCACACTACAATGCAGTCTATAAAGACAGCCTTCAATAAACTTGGGGAGAGAGAGCAGTACAGTCAAATGCTGGAAGCACTGGGTGCCTTAGGGACCACCATGCTGAACATATCAGCTCACTGGGTGGGCATCTTTGGCAGCTGACAGTCTAGCCCAGCTGGATTTGCCTTTGTGGGAAATTAATGCTTTCATACCTCTGGGATGTGAAAAATCTCAAGTGAGAATGTGCCCACAGTTTCTTGGAAAGGATAAAGGCCTAGTGTGCTAGCCAGGAGGCACTGGCCACTGACCTCTAGAACAACCAAACCTAGTTATTGTTTTAAATTTTTATTTTAAAATCATTAAAGATTTACAGAAAGTTAGAAGATAACTAGAGTTGGCCCAGTTTTCTCTGGTGGGTAAACCTTACATAGCCACAGATACCTACCATGAACACAGTGCATGATTAGAACATGTTCATTATTATAACTGGCCTTGACCATGAGGAGAACCCTGAGCCTTAGCCTCCTGACTACTGGAACCACGCACCCAGCTCATACTATGTCTGATGAGGATCAGTGACCACAGTAGCCAAATAGGATATGCCATTAGATAAAGCCAAGCGGGTTCTGGGCACTCGGGGATGGCGGCAATCAAAGGAGTTCTTGTCCCCTGCAATAGTTTAGGTCACCGATGCTCTCCACGGACCTGACTCTATTGAGAGGCAGTGGAAATTAACATCTAGAACAATGATTCTCAACCTTCCTTGTGCTGTTGTAGTGACCACCTGCCATAAAATTATTTCCGTTGCTATTTCATAATTGTAATTTTACTAGTGTTATGAATTACAAAGTAAATATATGATGTGTGACCCCTGAAAAAGGGTTTGAGATCCACAGGTTGTGAACCACCACTCCAGTGGAAGGTCTTCCTCAGTAGCTGAGGCCCTTGAAGGAAATAGTGTGATTTGACAGCCCCTTCTCTTCCTCTTTTTCTCCTGGCCCTACAGTGACCAGCTTTGCTCTGCACTCCCTACCAAGGAACACTTCCTCACTATAGAGTCAAAAGCAGCCAATAAAGTACAAACTAAAGCCTTACAGAACTGTGAGCCCAAACAACTGTTTTCCCTTCTTAAATTGACTCACGTAGGGTTTTGTTACAGTAATAGAAAGCTGATTAATATTATCTCTCACCCATCTAAAAGGTGCCTTTTCTTCTTTCTTTAAAAAAAAAAAAAAAAAAAAAAAGCCCTTCACTTGTCACTAATCCAGAAAAAAAGAAAAACAATTCCATAGTTTGGACAACTAATTTACAAAAATAACTAGACAATTTGAAAATTCTTTATAACATTTACTTGTTTACTTGTGTGTTTGTGAATGTGTGAGGGCACACATTGACATCAAATACCACTAGCTACCCCCTTGAGGTATCTTGTTGGCCACAAGGAAGGTCTTAAATTGTATCAGAGAAGCCACTTAGAATGTATCATTCTGCTCACTTCATAAATCTATATTGTGATTATAATAATACTTGACACTTGACTATCAGTGGAGCTGAAGTACATTAAAGCAAGTAATCCTGGGGTTCAAATCTCAGCTCCTATTCTCATCAGCTCTTAGATCCTTAGATTCTCAATGATGACAGTGACAACAGCTTTACCTCAATTGTTACATAATGTTCACTCGATGTCAAGTGATATTCTAAGTGGTTCATAAATTTCTCACCCTATAAACAGCTGTAATATTTACTTCCTGGAGGTTAACTGGACTTCTTCACTCCCTCTGGGATCAGTAACAAGAAGACTGTAGCAGTGTCCTACTCTGGAAGGCTCCCATATCTAATTCCAGCCAGTCTATGAGAAGCCACACAATAGAGGAAGACACCACCCAGCAGCTTTGTGAATGAGGCTGGCAGAATACCCTGTAGCCCCATCAAGCCTTGAGTGACTAGAGCTCCACTCAACACTCTGGCTCATGAGAGCCTGGGCCAAATGGACCAGCTAAGCCACGTCCAGGCCTCTGGCCCTCTGAAACTATGAGGAATTGGGGAGAGCAGTACCTAGAATGAACACAGAGCCCCAGATGTCAGGCAAGCATATCACCACTAAGCACTAAGCTACAGTTCCAGTCTAATTAACTGAATTTAAACTTATTCACACAACTTATGTACATGAGTTCACTTAATCCTTATGGCAATCCTATGAGGCATTTTCAGTCCTAATGTTGAGCCTAGAAACAGAGTATAGGAATTTCAGAGGTCAAATAGTTTAGCTTTCTCTGATTCTCCACCCTTCATCAAAGTGAAGGTTAGAGCCTACTATCTCACAGCCAGTCAACTGAGCACAGGTGATGCCCTCTCTGTGTCCCACTTTACTTCCCTAAATGACAGAACAACAAGGAACTCTGAGGATGGGTACAGCACACACAGTTCCCCAACAACCACTCCTATGAACATCATCCAGTGCCAAGCATTGTTCAGACATATGAGTGTAGGGGTACACGACAGGATGGGTCCCCATTGTCAGAGAAGTGGCATCACAAAGGAGCTTTGGCCCTACAGGCCAGCAAATAGGTGGCAGAGTTCCAGACCACACTGCACCCTATAAAAATGAGAGGGGGATGGGAAGGAGGTGGAGTGATCCAGGAGGATACAGGGTGGCGGAATGTTTTATAGAGGAGCTGACAGACCTGAAGGCGGGTAAAGACACACTTCCAGAATCAGGACTGGGTGCACAAGCCACCTTCAGGCCTGTCAAAATGCAAATTCAATTCAGAGCAGTGGATCAGAGCCTGGAAGCCTGCATTTCTAACTGTTCCAGGCAGGCTGCCAGACCCAAGGCTAGACCAGAGAGAAAGGCTGGGAAAGCCCCAGGAAGCTGAGGAGACTGGAGCCAGGCATGAGTCATGAAGGGTCCTGAGCCAGGAAAGGGCTGGGAGCAGCCAAGAAACAGTGTGTGTGTGTGTGGGGGGGGGGGGGGAGACAGAGGACATGTGAGAAATAGGATGGACGTGAACACAGCAAAGACCAGCTGGCCTGCTAGGAGGCAAGCACTATAGCCAAGAAATGATGGTGGTCAGGACTGGGAAGTAGCCACAGACAGGGAGGGAAGTTCATAACACCTGTCCAAAGGAGTCCAGACCATCTTGCCCCCACTACCAGCCCTGATCTGCCTGCTGGCCACCTTGCAGTTTCCTTTCAAAGCTCAAGGAAGAGGTAAATCATGGAGTAGGTGGCAGCAAGTGCCTCTCCTACAGCTTCCAGTTACTACAGTAATTAATGTGTGCAAGTCAAAGCAATTATGCCTACTGGATGTCAGAATAAACAACCAGCAACCCCAGACAACACCATTCAAAGGATAATTACTCAAAACAAAACTAACAAACCTGTGAAGCACATTTGGTAATTCACAGGCATCAAAACCCCACAATAAGGTACACCAACAAAAATCCATTCTCTTGGGCCACACAAAAGCTTGGCTTAGGTTGCTCCAACTCTACTAGTCACTGATACTA